TTTTACAACTTCCGGAGGTTCAAGACCAGGCTTCCCGATCAAAGGGGGGCAGTGGGGGGCTAGCCCCTCCTTAAAAATATTTTTGGACTTTCCGGCCAAATTTTTGACGTTTTTCCACAAGCAACTTATCACCCTCACCCTCACCCTCACAAGTTATAATACTAAACAACAATCAATTCTTCGGGTAATTGTTAACGTTGATTCTTGTCTAATGGCGATTAAATCGAAATGTATGAATAAACTGTCATCATCATCAGCATTGGCAACACAATCAATACCGAAAAAATGTAAAACGAAAAATCGATGTAATAAATTATCCAAGTCAGATGATGCACCAAACCATGTATTGAAAAAGGATTTAAATAAAACTAGTGTACATCACAACAAATTGCAAAAAAAACAAGTTAAAGATATTATTCGTGTTTGTCCAAATGAAAAATATTATAAAACAACAGCTACAACAAAATATGTAAAATCAAATGTAAGTGGTGATAACGGCACTACACATGTTTCGCGTCTAACGAGAGAGCGATCACCGTATTCTATACCATCTTTTTGTTGAAACATACCTGTTAGATTCAAAAATAATTGGAAGATGCCGATTTTGACTATCATGGTGACAAATACCTATACAAGTTCGGAGACTGATGCTTCGAAAGCCGCATCTTTGCTTGAATATCTCGATTTTGATATTTTTGACATTGCTAATTGTAGAATATCTTCAATTTGAAACAATTTTTAAGATTATCAAATGAGTTTCAAGGTGGTCAGAAATGAGTGAAAATTTTAGAGATAAACGGAAAAATAGGAAGAGAACGAAATAATCGATTTCTTCATCATATATATATCATATATATATATATATATTTATATATACAATCGAATACACTTTTCAAATAAGATCCATTACCTGACTGAACCCGGCAAATGATGACGAATAATACTCACGCATCGAGCTGAAGATTCTATCATATATGGAGGCCCCATCGACTACATTTCAAGTGCTTTTGAGACTCCTAAAGTTTAACCAATATAAAGGTCTTTGGAGAAAGTCCACAGATCCTGCCATGATAGATTGCGGTCTGGGTTCCGTACCGATTTGTAGAGCAAATGTCGTTCTATATTAGGCCTGATTTTTAGAGTATTTCATTATGTACGGTTGTGGAATAACGGGGTATATCATGTAGTCAAGGATCGTTCTTTGTTAATGCCATAAGAAATAGATCTTCCTTGTGTTCTATCGAAACTGATGAAAGATCGGCATTTTAAAAAAGCATTTTTCTAGATAAATGTTTTGTTTTCTTTGAGAAAATCTTCCTTTTGATGACAACATTGTTATTAGCACTAGTTAAAACAACATCTCCTTGCATAATATGGCATAATAGTGAGAGTGATATATTCGAAATTGTGTTGACTACAAAGAATTCACCAGTCATTCAAGGTATGTGATGGTTTCAGTTCTGAAAATATTTGGTTGATTATTTTCTTGTTAGAACTTCTCGAACATGCACGACCGCATCAGACATCTTCACAACGAAATGAACGCGGATTTTTTATTAAACTAGAACCTGGAAATTTAGATATAAGTCTTAGGAATAACCGAGGTACAATATTAGTATCAATGACAACAACTAAGTTACTTTGAGCAATTTGTTCCTTTTCTCCTCTTATCCAAATAGGTAAAGTTGTCAAGACCGGATATGAATGTTTTTTACGACGAGAAAGCGATACAACCATTAACACTAACAGAAAAAGAATATTTTCATCCGGTTTGTATCACTCATCTATGAAACTTTATGAGTTAATTTAGAATTTATGTGTTTTTTTAATAAGATTGAGCATTTCCATCATATTCAACACCTTCTGATACGGGAGCATTGACAAAACTAAATCCTTATTTTCTTGCTATATTCAAATAATGACATTTTTCTTGACCGATACCATTTAGTTTTATTAGAAACCGATTTAATTACAAACAATCAAGCGTTGGAATAGTCACGATCCGTATGAAAAAATGTCAGCTAACAGTTCTTTGTTCCTTTTTTCTGCCATCTCTTATTCTGCAATAGAATATAGTATAGCATATTTAAAACCGAAAAATTGTTAAGTATCTTTGATGATTCACAATACTTAGGATGTTAACTACACTTATAGTCTTAGTCATCTCCAACTGAGGAGCAAGCAGTCAGAGAACTTCACTAAAATTTTAACTTAGGAAAATAAAGTCCGTGCTTAGTTTAAAATGGTAAACAATAATCACATCTGAATCTATTTTTCTTTAATCGTCTCTTCAACTGAAGATCCACTTCACTCCGTGTTGTCATCGTCACATCCCACAAAACTTATTGATAAGTGTAAAACTTATCAATAGTAAACGTGGAGTGAAGTAGAATAAAGAAAATGAAATTTCATTTACGTCTACACATCAAGAAAAATAGCCTAGATAAATGTACGACGGATAACTCCAGCTCACCTTCCAGATATTCATTATTCACAATATTTGCTGTATTTTCTCACTATCACTTACGTTATGAGAGTCTAATTCACATATTTTCATTGGTATATAAGTATGAAAGCTATAAACACGTATAACAAAATCACTACTACAGCAGCAAGAAAATAACCACCTTTGAATAGAAAATGAAATAAAAATCACTTTTATACACATAGACAAGATAATTGTATCTATTCTACCTGAACTGAATGTCAAAGACAACATCTGAGCTCCAGCACGAGATTTTTCTACAAATGTCAGTCTTTGACCTAGACCAATTCACCCTCACCCTCACAGACCAATTTAATTGGTCTAGGTCTATAAATTAGCGTGTTTCAATGATATAAGGTCACAGTGCCATCACTGGCACCAGCCTCAGAATCAGAAACCGCTTCCCCGAAACAAGCAGTCTATGTTTCGATGATTTGTACAATAGAGAAGGAGAAAATATTTTAATATTTTTCAAACAAATCAGTGCTTTTTTATAGACCAGTGTAACAGCAAAACAAAAGGGTGATTGAATCAGCCAATGTTAAAAATGCCTGTTCGGCTCTTCTCTTAACGGTCTCAAAAACGACTGAGACAGTTATTTTGACATTTGTCAATACACAATTGAATGCTTATTTTCGGCTGTCAACGGCATTTCTGGCATGCATTTAACAGGCATTGCATAGGTTATTAAATGTCAGTTATGCTGGACGTGCGTTATGAATCATGATAAGTAATATTTTCATCTGTAATTCATGTGGTCTCTTAAAACTAGAAAATGATGTCGAGACAAAGCACTAGACTTATATTTTTTTTAAAGAGGATAATGATATTCTTGTTCTAGGAAATATCAACATTAGAATCAAGTCTACCAAATGAATTGTATGATTTTATTTTTCTCTATTTAAAATCTCGTGATATTATTTATTCATTTTTCAATTTAAATGATCATTTTAATAATCTTATTTATCCATTTTTCTGCGCAATAGATTTATCCAATGTCGATGAATGTACGTTGAGCAAGTATTGTCAAACAATTTTACCAAAAATTCATCATCATATCAAAGCAATTAAAGTTGATCATAAAAATATTGACTCTGTTTTTCCATTATGGTTATATTCTAAAATATATCCGAATCTTGAATCAGTTTTTATAACGCAAGTTGAAAAGGATGGTAAAGATTTATCCTATTTAAAATTCTTTAAACAATTATTAAATTTAAAAATTTATTTTGGTGAAGGAGAATATAATGAAACTGTATCAAATGAATTATGTTCAAATCTATTTCAATCTGATTGTCGACTACAAACATTATTTTTTGATAATGTTTATGTACCCATCAATACTCATACCATTCAACGATGTTTTTCTATTAGAAAGTTAACAATAAAAGTACATTGCTTAGATAATGTATATGTTCTGTTAAACAATTTACCTTCAATCGAATCTATAAATATTAGTATAGCACATCGAACATAGACGATTATATCCAGACATACAAATCGTCTTATTGGATTGATAATAATTATTCGATTTTATGTTTTAATCGATCGCCACCTCGTCGACATTATTGTTTCAGTCAGTGCACGTTCAGTCGAATGCGATGCTTTAAACGATAATGATATAAAACTGTTATTTCCAAATGCTAAACTTTCAGGATGGATATAAACATTCCATTGGGCTGTTTACTCTAATATTAATAAGTTTCTACATGCCGAAACTTTCATTTCTTGTGAAAGAAATCAGACTTCGTTAATGAATAAATTTTGTTTTATAATCGCTTATTTCCATTACATTCAGTGTGATCATTACAGCTTATATTTTCTATCTGCATACTATGTGTAAGCTTTTGCTGCCAGTTGCGCTTGAAATATTACATGAACGCAGGTCGAAGCTGCTGATCATCGGATCCAGCGGGGGATTATGCCGGAATTAGTCAGATTTCAACTCGATTTGGGCGAGTCGGAATCCTGGCGCCCGGAATCCGGCTTCCGGATACAGTCGAAACAGGTAGGATCCGACGACAGAAAACAGGCAAATTTTCCGATCCGGAATCGGGGCGCTAAGATTTTGTCGGATTGCAACGGATCTAGTCGGATCCGACCGGGTGAATTTGACCTGGGAAATAAAGCATAATGTGGCTATTGGAAATTTAAGCTGCAATAATCATACATTCGGAAGCTTTGAAAATGTGTCAGACTTGTGCACAATTGTTCGCTTTATACGCTGCGATAGATTAAGGGTACCCCCCTCTTTTAGGTCAAAAAAAGCGATTTTTGGTTTTCGACTGATTTATATACTTTGAAGTACGCTCTTTCAAGTTAGAGTGGTATTAGGGTCTGAAACAGCGGGAAAAGGGTTTTTAGAAGGCTTTCAGAGACCGTCTTTGAGGATATCTCTAATTTTCTCTTGTTTTTAATGAAATTTATACTTTTTATCCTTATAAAAGTTACATTTTCTATGGGTTGTCGACTCTACTTTATTCGATGGATATGTGCAGAGACATGTGCCGCATATGTAATAGCCTATGGAAGCATACGCGAATAAGTTTTCAATACTTTCTGTCTTTTATGTTATAGTATTATGGCAAAAAAAATTTTCTTATGAGTTAGTCAGTACGCTAGTACCCTTTGCAATTGTTAGTTTCGAACCATGGGTGGCAAATTCATAGTTCATAAGCGAAGATATATTTTTAATATTATCTATTTGTTATTTTCTTTTAAATGTGAAAATATGTTATGGCGCATAAATGTATCTGTGTACGTGCTGAAGAAAAAACATGTATAAAAAGAAAGAGTTGAAAAATATTTCTCATATTTTATCCTATGATAAGTAATAGCTCTAAGTTTCTTTGTTAGGTCTTGAGACCGTACTAACGTTATAATAAAGATAGCAAGTTGAATAAAACGATACATGGCTGCCAAAGCTAACGCTAAAACTGCAACTAAGTACACGCCAGTGGAAGAAGAGATAAATGCAGAAAAAGCGGTATCAAAGCTATGTGAAGACAGGTATGTGTTTTTCTATATCTCGTTAGCCGATTCCAGATCCGTATTGGTTGGGATCATTATGTCTGAGTGTGGCTTCCTTCTCGATCCGTTCTCGTCGTGCTTTTCGTCTTTTATACAGTCTTTGTTCGGATCAAATTGAAGATCTTCTTTCATCCGCTCAATATCCATTTTATGGAACATTTTGATAACGCCATAGTTGGTGTTTATACTCAATGTTTTCCAAATCGGCACCAAACCAATAAATCCGTCATTGTAAATGATTGTTGCTAAATTCGCTGATAATTGAACATGCTGTCTAGTGTGAAACATTTTCTTGCTGCACATTGACCAAATCACTCGATGGTAGGATTCGTTGGCATTTGTTGTGCCTCCATTCAGCACCTGTAGGAGTGAGCTTTCGGAGCATAGCTCAACATACGCTGGATGAATTGCTTCACAAACACGTGGAGGTAGACTATGTTCCTGATGTTGGTAATTATAGTCTAAATATAATCCGCAACGATCTGGATTACAGAAATCATGATTTGGGTGTTTATCGGAGCTAGCAAAATGATACCATGCGGATCAACTTGCGACCTGCATTGATTTCAAGTCTTGAACATTTTCTCGAACCGCATTTCCAAAGTAAACCTGAGCTCGATATATTTTTGAGTCATCTAATCTACCTTTTCGTGCAAAAGTCTTTCGATCAGATAAACGGTTGCTGCCATGTTGCTTTTTTATTGTCGATAGGCGGGTCTTCATACGTTTAGAGTAGTGATTTATGCAGTGTTTTCGCTCAATTATGATCCCAGGACCGTATGGTTCTGTTTCACTGACGGATACGTCGTTTTTCGTGCCAAAAGGTGCCTGTCAATTCCTGAAGTGTTGATTCTTTCTCGAATTGGAAAAAGTTGATTTCAGTTTCTGAATTCTTGAATTCTTTGAATTTAGAAAAATACGTGATGGTTATTTCTGAATTCTTGAATCTTCCTCGAACTGGAAAAAGATGAATTCAATTTATGAATTCTTTGAATTAAGAGAACTTAATTTTTATTTCTGAATACTTGATGCTAATTCGGAATTTCTGAAATTTCAGAAACTAAAAAAAACTCAGTGCTAATTCTTGAATTCTTTCTGCTAATCTTGAAAATTTTATCAATATAGGTTCTGTGAACTCCGCTGCCCCTTTCTCCTAAATATATAAAGGATGTTATGAACACCTCATGTATTTTTAATTAATTTTCAATTAATAATTGTAGCATAACTGTAAAACAATTCTTTCATAATGTGCATCATTTATAATCTTGTAATGATCGGCACAGTGGCATTCATCCCTCCGTCAAACTTTGAGGCAATTAGCCACTTAACGTTTTGCTATCCCTGGTTCCATTAAAATCGCGCCCCACTTCTGAAATTTTTAACAATTATTAGCCGACTATTGAAGTAAAACTCACTGTTACAATAATTCACAATGCTTAAAATCTTAGATCGATAAGTTAAGTTCTCTTTCTTCCTTTCATGTCAGAGTTCACACCTCCCAAAAAGCTTGTATTTCAGGCAGTTTGCCTTAAGCACACTAAAGGATGGACGCCACTGGATCCACAGATAAATTTTTTCAAACATCTTTAACTTTTAAAAGTGCCTCAGTTCATCCTGATGTTTCTTATCCTGCGTTCTTCATCTTTTTTAATCTTGTTTCACGGTATCAGAACCAATATATGAACAATACTATTTAAACAGTATTGGGAAAAAATTCACAATGACTAGATTAAAAACGTATTTCATGCTCAAGGTTTCATGCGATAAGATGCACGTTATTAATAAGATACAATGAATCATCTAACATCTAATCTGAAGTCTTCCCTTCATACGAAGATATTACATCAAATATAAATTAAGAAAATGCTTTTTACTATGCATAATATCTGCGCTCGAAAACCGTGTTCAGACTCATGCGGCATCTATTGAACTGTAAAGACATTGCATGAAATCTTATTCAACGAGCAGTGAGAAAGAAAAGAAAAATTTTATCGACGGCGGTCATTTCTGGCAGGTAACTTCTTACAACGGCAGCACATGCAGCCAAATATGACTCTTTAAATGTTATATCATATAATCTAGCACTCTAATTACCTAATATTTGCTTTACATATATATCTTTGTTTTTATCGCTTTTGAATACGTTTACATCTACATTTCGCACAATGAATAGCAATTTATCTTTGCAATAGGTGACTTCTTGTAAAACAATGTCACACTCGTCTAAACGTTACTTAAGAAATGATGATGATAATGACAAGCGTCGCAGTAATCATAAACGTGTATCAACAAAACAACAATGTAATGCTGGAAATGATAAGAACGGTAAAGTACAATGTACTAATGCTTTGCCTACAACAAGTCATCATTGGATGCGAAAAAAAAATGTTGACATTCTCGCCAAGAATTTTTCAACATTCGACACTTCATTCCTAATCCCACTGCGCAATGCCCATTCAAGCAGCTCTTTTATTTTCTCTTTATTTTGAATCGATTACTTTTACTAGGTTTCTTTCGTGATCTATCACGAAACTGATCTATTGTAAAATAATGATTTTTGGAACAATATAAGCTACTCGTAACTACTTAAGCCTATCGTTTTATCTGAACTCTTTCTAAACGTTTCGACCAATGTCCTTACGAAAACGCAGCAGCTCATCCACTTAAAGAAATCAAAAAAAAGTTAGATCATTACCTTGCAATAAAATATGCATAGGATCAAACAAAGATTGCTGTATAACATCAAATTTGGTAAGCATGAAAAGCTACTGTGTTTATTAATGCCATGATACTTCATAGCCATTTTGTGTTGCAGCTTCAGTTTCACCACAAGCTTGATTATAATCAGCGATTGTATAGTTATTAGGCAACTAAGAAAAAAAAGCAAAAAGAAAATCGTGTTTAATTAAAGGTATAAAGGAACCAAAATTGCTATTTTACCTGATCAATAGTATTAACATAGGTATTTGATAAAACATCACAGCCAGGACAAAATCTAGCTGCTGATACTGATTCTTTTCTACCGTGCATGGCCTGTTGTGCTGGATAATCGCCGAGGGTGTATAATGGTGATACATAATAATGTTTCTCAACGCCATTTATCATTATTTTTATGCCATCCTTTGCTAGTTTTGTTATACTACAAAAGAAGTCGTCTAAAACAGAAGAACAAGAATATGTAAACGTTTTCATAGATTTAGAAAAAGCGTACGAAGGATTCCCGCGGGTAGACCATGCTTCAATGCTTTCCAATCACATGCAGCTATAATTCTTTTCGAAATTTGAGTTGATCTATGTTCTCGACGTAGGTTTAACAAACTCCAATATATAAGAAACACTTTGTGGACCCGGTGGGAAATGCTGTTGGTAATGTTCAGGTCATCTAAAGCAAAAAAACATGTAAGATAATTATAAGTAACGAATTTGATCAAAAGAAATATTACCTGCATTTAATTCAATTTTTAGATATTCATTGAATTTAAATTTCGGATGTTGACGAGCAAAATCACCGTCTTGAAAATCCATCATAGCAGGTAATGTCGTTGCCACAGAACAATTTAAATCGTCTTGAACAGGGTTTCCGATTGTTCTCAGGGATGGGAGAGGCTAAAAAATTTTCTTTACGGAAAGTAGCTGGCGAAAAAAAATTTTCTAAATTTTTGACAGAAAGTTGCTTGTGGAAAAACGTCAAAAATTTGGCCGGAAAGTCCAAAAATATTTTTAAGGAGGGGCTAGCCCCCCACTGCCCCCCTTTGATCGGGAAGCCTGGTCTTGAACCTCCGGAAGTTGTAAAA